ATAAGAATGCTGTCAACGCATACATTTTTAATGCGGTGATCCTGCAAATAGGATGGATAGTCAATGGAAGAATATCACAATTTATTAATTAACAACGATTCAATTATGTCAACGTTTGGTTAACGATTTAAGCAGCGGAATGGGACCCCTCAGATACAATTATTTTTTCCTATGACACCTTCTTACGACAGCAAAAATTAAAGTAGAATTTCAAGACGTCATTATTAATTTGACTATTGTTAAAGCAGATCGCCCAGCAGTTGGATCAAAAGATGCTTTATGTCAAAATGGGTCTCGTAAAAGCAGACCTCCCCAGAGAGCAAACTTTAGATTTTGATGCAACATTGATGAATTTAATGGGCGCTGATCTCGTAAAAGCAGATCACCCAGCAGAGCCGGTTATATAATATGATGAAAACTTGTTTTATAGTAAAAAGTATTTAATTTTATGTCTGGCTCTATTTCATTATCAACCAATTTGAAACTTTATTACAAATTTATTTTCTTCAAATTTATACTCTAATGAAGTATATTCTTATGAGAATGTATAGTAATTATAAATATTCTTGTCCAACATGCAAAAGATTAAATTCTGAATTAATTGTAACAGCAAATAGTCTCTATTTACAGCTGATATTAATTTATAGTTTTTGTTAAAGATGTTGCACTCCTAGACAGAGAAGATGGAAACTTCATGGTAGATAGCACATGAGGAGGAGTCGCATGTAAGTATTTGGTCATTACAATTGTACTTAAAACTATGTTAATATTTGTGAGACAATAAAAAATTGGTCTAAAATTTCTTTTATTCAAATTTAGACTCTAATGAGGTATATTTTAATAAGAATGTATAGTTATTGCAAATTAATTGTCCCTAATTTAAGATTTGACATGACACATGCATCACATTAATTTTTGAATTAATTGCAACAGCAAAAAGTCTCTATTTAAAGCTGAAACTAATTTAAAGTTTTTGTTTTTGTTAGATACAGCCTAAATATGTGACCGTCCTATACCATGAAAATGGTTCCATTGAAGTTCAAGAGGATGATGTTGCATGTAGGTATTTGGTCATTACAAATGTTCTTAAAGCTATGTTTATATGTGTGAGGTAATAAAAATCAGTTTTTCCTGGAATAGCAGGCAACTTTATTACAAATTGGTCTACACTTTCGTCTTTTATGCCTGTTTAAGGGACGATTATGGTATACTGCAGGAATAATTTTACTATATAGTTAAGTGGCCCTTAAAATTGGCCGGCAGCCCAAAAAATATTTGGAAATGTTTTAGTTACCATTTTAGGCAACTGCAATGTTGTCATAGCGTTTTAAAATCTGGATAAGAATGCTGTCAACGCATACATTTTTAATGCGGTGATCCTGCAAATAGGATGGATAGTCAATGGAAGAATATCACAATTTATTAATTAACAACGATTCAATTATGTCAACGTTTGGTTAACGATTTAAGCAGCGGAATGGGACCCCTCAGATACAATTATTTTTTCCTATGACACCTTCTTACGACAGCAAAAATTAAAGTAGAATTTCAAGACGTCATTATTAATTTGACTATTGTTAAAGCAGATCGCCCAGCAGTTGGATCAAAAGATGCTTTATGTCAAAATGGGTCTTGTAAAAGCAGACCTCCCCAGAGAGCAAACTTTAGATTTTGATGCAACATTGATGAATTTAATGGGCGCTGATCTCGTAAAAGCAGATCACCCAGCAGAGCCGGTTATATAATATGATGAAAACTTGTTTTATAGTAAAAAGTATTTAATTTTATGTCTGGCTCTATTTCATTATCAACCAATTTGAAACTTTATTACAAATTTATTTTCTTCAAATTTATACTCTAATGAAGTATATTCTTATGAGAATGTATAGTAATTATAAATATTCTTGTCCAACATGCAAAAGATTAAATTCTGAATTAATTGTAACAGCAAATAGTCTCTATTTACAGCTGATATTAATTTATAGTTTTTGTTAAAGATGTTGCACTCCTAGACAGAGAAGATGGAAACTTCATGGTAGATAGCACATGAGGAGGAGTCGCATGTAAGTATTTGGTCATTACAATTGTACTTAAAACTATGTTAATATTTGTGAGACAATAAAAAATTGGTCTAAAATTTCTTTTATTCAAATTTAGACTCTAATGAGGTATATTTTAATAAGAATGTATAGTTATTGTAAATTAATTGTCCCTAATTTAAGATTTGACATGACACATGCATCACATTAATTTTTGAATTAATTGCAACAGCAAAAAGTCTCTATTTAAAGCTGAAACTAATTTAAAGTTTTTGTTTTTGTTAGATACAGCCTAAATATGTGACCGTCCTATACCATGAAAATGGTTCCATTGAAGTTCAAGAGGATGATGTTGCATGTAGATATTTGGTCATTACAAATGTTCTTAAAGCTATGTTTATATGTGTGAGGTAATAAAAATCAGTTTTTCCTGGAATAGCAGGCAACTTTATTACAAATTGGTCTACAATTTCGTCTTTTATGCCTGTTTAAGGGACGATTATGGTATACTGCAGAAATAATTTTACTATATAGTTAAGTGGCCCTTAAAATTGGCCGGCAGCCCAAAAAATATTTGGAAATGTTTTAGTTACCATTTTAGGCAACTGCAATGTTGTCATAGCGTTTTAAAATCTGGATAAGAATGCTGTCAACGCATACATTTTTAATGCGGTGATCCTGCAAATAGGATGGATAGTCAATGGAAGAATATCACAATTTATTAATTAACAACGATTCAATTATGTCAACGTTTGGTTAACGATTTAAGCAGCGGAATGGGACCCCTCAGATACAATTATTTTTTCCTATGACACCTTCTTACGACAGCAAAAATTAAAGTAGAATTTCAAGACGTCATTATTAATTTGACTATTGTTAAAGCAGATCGCCCAGCAGTTGGATCAAAAGATGCTTTATGTCAAAATGGGTCTCGTAAAAGCAGACCTCCCCAGAGAGCAAACTTTAGATTTTGATGCAACATTGATGAATTTAATGGGCGCTGATCTCGTAAAAGCAGATCACCCAGCAGAGCCGGTTATATAATATGATGAAAACTTGTTTTATAGTAAAAAGTATTTAATTTTATGTCTGGCTCTATTTCATTATCAACCAATTTGAAACTTTATTACAAATTTATTTTCTTCAAATTTATACTCTAATGAAGTATATTCTTATGAGAATGTATAGTAATTATAAATATTCTTGTCCAACATGCAAAAGATTAAATTCTGAATTAATTGTAACAGCAAATAGTCTCTATTTACAGCTGATATTAATTTATAGTTTTTGTTAAAGATGTTGCACTCCTAGACAGAGAAGATGGAAACTTCATGGTAGATAGCACATGAGGATGAGTTGCATGTAAGTATTTGGTCATTACAATTGTACTTAAAACTATGTTAATATTTGTGAGACAATAAAAAATTGGTCTAAAATTTCTTTTATTCAAATTTAGACTCTAATGAGGTATATTTTAATAAGAATGTATAGTTATTGTAAATTAATTGTCCCTAATTTAAGATTTGACATGACACATGCATCACATTAATTTTTGAATTAATTGCAACAGCAAAAAGTCTCTATTTAAAGCTGAAACTAATTTAAAGTTTTTGTTTTTGTTAGATACAGCCTAAATATGTGACCGTCCTATACCATGAAAATGGTTCCATTGAAGTTCAAGAGGATGATGTTGCATGTAGGTATTTGGTCATTACAAATGTTCTTAAAGCTATGTTTATATGTGTGAGGTAATAAAAATCAGTTTTTCCTGGAATAGCAGGCAACTTTATTACAAATTGGTCTACAATTTCGTCTTTTATGCCTGTTTAAGGGACGATTATGGTATACTGCAGAAATAATTTTACTATATAGTTAAGTGGCCCTTAAAATTGGCCGGCAGCCCAAAAAATATTTGGAAATGTTTTAGTTACCATTTTAGGCAACTGCAATGTTGTCATAGCGTTTTAAAATCTGGATAAGAATGCTGTAAACGCATACATTTTTAATGCGGTGATCCTGCAAATAGGATGGATAGTCAATGGAAGAATATCACAATTTATTAATTAACAACGATTCAATTATGTCAACGTTTGGTTAACGATTTAAGCAGCGGAATGGGACCCCTCAGATACAATTATTTTTTCCTATGACACCTTCTTACGACAGCAAAAATTAAAGTAGAATTTCAAGACGTCATTATTAATTTGACTATTGTTAAAGCAGATCGCCCAGCAGTTGGATCAAAAGATGCTTTATGTCAAAATGGGTCTCGTAAAAGCAGACCTCCCCAGAGAGCAAACTTTAGATTTTGATGCAACATTGATGAATTTAATGGGCGCTGATCTCGTAAAAGCAGATCACCCAGCAGAGCCGGTTATATAATATGATGAAAACTTGTTTTATAGTAAAAAGTATTTAATTTTATGTCTGGCTCTATTTCATTATCAACCAATTTGAAACTTTATTACAAATTTATTTTCTTCAAATTTATACTCTAATGAAGTATATTCTTATGAGAATGTATAGTAATTATAAATATTCTTGTCCAACATGCAAAAGATTAAATTCTGAATTAATTGTAACAGCAAATAGTCTCTATTTACAGCTGATATTAATTTATAGTTTTTGTTAAAGATGTTGCACTCCTAGACAGAGAAGATGGAAACTTCATGGTAGATAGCACATGAGGATGAGTTGCATGTAAGTATTTGGTCATTACAATTGTACTTAAAACTATGTTAATATTTGTGAGACAATAAAAAATTGGTCTAAAATTTCTTTTATTCAAATTTAGACTCTAATGAGGTATATTTTAATAAGAATGTATAGTTATTGTAAATTAATTGTCCCTAATTTAAGATTTGACATGACACATGCATCACATTAATTTTTGAATTAATTGCAACAGCAAAAAGTCTCTATTTAAAGCTGAAACTAATTTAAAGTTTTTGTTTTTGTTAGATACAGCCTAAATATGTGACTGTCCTATACCATGAAAATGGTTCCATTGAAGTTCAAGAGGATGATGTTGCATGTAGGTATTTGGTCATTACAAATGTTCTTAAAGCTATGTTTATATGTGTGAGGTAATAAAAATCAGTTTTTCCTGGAATAGCAGGCAACTTTATTACAAATTGGTTTACAATTTCGTTTTTTATGCCTGTTTAAGGGACGATTATGGTATACTGCAGGAATAATTTTACTATATAGTTAAGTGGCCCTTAAAATTGGCCGGCAGCCCAAAAAATATTTGGAAATGTTTTAGTTACCATTTTAGGCAACTTCAATGTTGTCATAGCGTTTTAAAATCTGGATAAGAATGCTGTCAACGCATACTTTTTAATGCGGTGATCCTGCAAATAGGATGGATAGTCAATGGAAGAATATCACAATTTATTAATTAACAACGATTCAATTATGTCAACGTTTGGTTAACGATTTAAGCAGCGGAATGGGACCCCTCAGATACAATTATTTTTTCCTATGACACCTTCTTACGACAGCAAAAATTAAAGTAGAATTTCAAGACGTCATTATTAATTTGACTATTGTTTAAGCAGATCGCCCAGCAGTTGGATCAAAAGATGCTTTATGTCAAAATGGGTCTCGTAAAAGCAGACCTCCCCAGAGAGCAAACTTTAGATTTGATGCAACATTGATGAATTTAATGGGCGCTGATCTCGTAAAAGCAAATCACCCAGCAGAGCCGGTTATATAATATGATGAAAACTTGTTTTATAGTAAAAAGTATTTAATTTTATGTCTGGCTCTATTTCATTATCAACCAATTTGAAACTTTATTACAAATTTATCTTCTTCAAATTTATACTATAATGAAGTATATTCTTATGAGAATGTATAGTAATTATAAATATTCTTGTCCAACATGCAAAAGATTAAATTCTGAATTAATTGTAACAGCAAATAGTCTCTATTTACAGCTGATATTAATTTATAGTTTTTGTTAAAGATGTTGCACTCCTAGACAGAGAAGATGGAAACTTCATGGTAGATAGCACATGAGGAGGAGTCGCATGTAAGTATTTGGTCATTACAATTGTACTTAAAACTATGTTAATATTTGTGAGACAATAAAAAATTGGTCTAAAATTTCTTTTATTCAAATTTAGACTCTAATGAGGTATATTTTAATAAGAATGTATAGTTATTGTAAATTAATTGTCCCTAATTTAAGATTTGACATGACACATGCATCACATTAATTTTTGAATTAATTGCAACAGCAAAAAGTCTCTATTTAAAGCTGAAACTAATTTAAAGTTTTTGTTTTTGTTAGATACAGCCTAAATATGGGACCGTCCTATACCATGAAAATGGTTCCATTGAAGTTCAAGAGGATGATGTTGCATGTAGGTATTTGGTCATTACAAATGTTCTTAAAGCTATGTTTATATGTGTGAGGTTATAAAAATCAGTTTTTCCTGGAATAGCAGGCAACTTTATTACAAATTGGTCTACAATTTCGTCTTTTATGCCTGTTTAAGGGACGATTATGGTATACTGCAGAAATAATTTTACTATATAGTTAAGTGGCCCTTAAAATTGGCCGGCAGCCCAAAAAATATTTGGAAATGTTTTAGTTACCATTTTAGGCAACTGCAATGTTGTCATAGCGTTTTAAAATCTGGATAAGAATGCTGTCAACGCATACATTTTTAATGCGGTGATCCTGCAAATAGGATGGATAGTCAATGGAAGAATATCACAATTTATTAATTAACAACGATTCAATTATGTCAACGTTTGGTTAACGATTTAAGCAGCGGAATGGGACCCCTCAGATACAATTATTTTTTCCTATGACACCTTCTTACGACAGCAAAAATTAAAGTAGAGTTTCAAGACGTCATTATTAATTTGACTATTGTGAAAGCAGATCGCCCAGCAGTTGGATCAAAAGATGCTTTATGTCAAAATGGGTCTCGTAAAAGCAGACCTCCCCAGAGAGCAAACTTTAGATTTTGATGCAACATTGATGAATTTAATGGGCGCTGATCTCGTAAAAGCAGATCACCCAGCAGAGCCGGTTATATAATATGATGAAAACTTGTTTTATAGTAAAAAGTATTTAATTTTATGTCTGGCTCTATTTCATTATCAACCAATTTGAAACTTTATTACAAATTTATTTTCTTCAAATTTATACTCTAATGAAGTATATTCTTATGAGAATGTATAGTAATTATAAATATTCTTGTCCAACATGCAAAAGATTAAATTCTGAATTAATTGTAACAGCAAATAGTCTCTATTTACAGCTGATATTAATTTATAGTTTTTGTTAAAGATGTTGCACTCCTAGACAGAGAAGATGGAAACTTCATGGTAGATAGCACATGAGGAGGAGTCGCATGTAAGTATTTGGTCATTACAATTGTACTTAAAACTATGTTAATATTTGTGAGACAATAAAAAATTGGTCTAAAATTTCTTTTATTCAAATTTAGACTCTAATGAGGTATATTTTAATAAGAATGTATAGTTATTGTAAATTAATTGTCCCTAATTTAAGATTTGACATGACACATGCATCACATTAATTTTTGAAATAATTGCAACAGCAAAAAGTCTCTATTTAAAGCTGAAACTAATTTAAAGTTTTTGTTTTTGTTAGATACAGCCTAAATATGTGACCGTCCTATACCATGAAAATGGTTCCATTGAAGTTCAAGAGGATGATGTTGCATGTAGGTATTTGGTCATTACAAATGTTCTTAAAGCTATGTTTATATGTGTGAGGTAATAAAAATCAGTTTTTCCTGGAATAGCAGGCAACTTTATTACAAATTGGTTTACAATTTCGTTTGTAATGCCTGTTTAAGGGAAGATTATGGTATACTGCAGGAATAATTTTACTATATAGTTAAGTGGCCCTTAAAATTGGCCGGCAGCCCAAAAAATATTTGGAAATGTTTTAGTTACCATTTTAGGCAACTTCAATGTTGTCATAGCGTTTTAAAATCTGGATAAGAATGCTGTCAACGCATACTTTTTAATGCGGTGATCCTGCAAATAGGATGGATAGTCAATGGAAGAATATCACAATTTATTAATTAACAACGATTCAATTATGTCAACGTTTGGTTAACGATTTAAGCAGCGGAATGGGACCCCTCAGATACAATTATTTTTTCCTATGACACCTTCTTACGACAGCAAAAATTAAAGTAGAATTTCAAGACGTCATTATTAATTTGACTATTGTTAAAGCAGATCGCCCAGCAGTTGGATCAAAAGATGCTTTATGTCAAAATGGGTCTTGTAAAAGCAGACCTCCCCAGAGAGCAAACTTTAGATTTTGATGCAACATTGATGAATTTAATGGGCGCTGATCTCGTAAAAGCAGATCACCCAGCAGAGCCGGTTATATAATATGATGAAAACTTGTTTTATAGTAAAAAGTATTTAATTTTATGTCTGGCTCTATTTCATTATCAACCAATTTGAAACTTTATTACAAATTTATTTTCTTCAAATTTATACTCTAATGAAGTATATTCTTATGAGAATGTATAGTAATTATAAATATTCTTGTCCAACATGCAAAAGATTAAATTCTGAATTAATTGTAACAGCAAATAGTCTCTATTTACAGCTGATATTAATTTATAGTTTTTGTTAAAGATGTTGCACTCCTAGACAGAGAAGATGGAAACTTCATGGTAGATAGCACATGAGGATGAGTTGCATGTAAGTATTTGGTCATTACAATTGTACTTAAAACTATGTTAATATTTGTGAGACAATAAAAAATTGGTCTAAAATTTCTTTTATTCAAATTTAGACTCTAATGAGGTATATTTTAATAAGAATGTATAGTTATTGTAAATGAATTGTCCCTAATTTAAGATTTGACATGACACATGCATCACATTAATTTTTGAATTAATTGCAACAGCAAAAAGTCTCTATTTAAAGCTGAAACTAATTTAAAGTTTTTGTTTTTGTTAGATACAGCCTAAATATGTGACCGTCCTATACCATGAAAATGGTTCCATTGAAGTTCAAGAGGATGATGTTGCATGTAGGTATTTGGTCATTACAAATGTTCTTAAAGCTATGTTTATATGTGTGAGGTAATAAAAATCAGTTTTTCCTGGAATAGCAGGCAACTTTATTACAAATTGGTTTACAATTTCGTTTTTTATGCCTGTTTAAGGGACGATTATGGTATACTGCAGGAATAATTTTACTATATAGTTAAGTGGCCCTTAAAATTGGCCGGCAGCCCAAAAAATATTTGGAAATGTTTTAGTTACCATTTTAGGCAACTTCAATGTTGTCATAGCGTTTTAAAATCTGGATAAGAATGCTGTCAACGCATACTTTTTAATGCGGTGATCCTGCAAATAGGATGGATAGTCAATGGAAGAATATCACAATTTATTAATTAACAACGATTCAATTATGTCAACGTTTGGTTAACGATTTAAGCAGCGGAATGGGACCCCTCAGATACAATTATTTTTTCCTATGACACCTTCTTACGACAGCAAAAATTAAAGTAGAATTTCAAGACGTCATTATTAATTTGACTATTGTTAAAGCAGATCGCCCAGCAGTTGGATCAAAAGATGCTTTATGTCAAAATGGGTCTCGTAAAAGCAGACCTCCCCAGAGAGCAAACTTTAGATTTGATGCAACATTGATGAATTTAATGGGCGCTGATCTCGTAAAAGCAAATCACCCAGCAGAGCCGGTTATATAATATGATGAAAACTTGTTTTATAGTAAAAAGTATTTAATTTTATGTCTGGCTCTATTTCATTATCAACCAATTTGAAACTTTATTACAAATTTATCTTCTTCAAATTTATACTATAATGAAGTATATTCTTATGAGAATGTATAGTAATTATAAATATTCTTGTCCAACATGCAAAAGATTAAATTCTGAATTAATTGTAACAGCAAATAGTCTCTATTTACAGCTGATATTAATTTATAGTTTTTGTTAAAGATGTTGCACTCCTAGACAGAGAAGATGGAAACTTCATGGTAGATAGCACATGA